CTATACTTATGTATATGTTAAAACCAGCTTTAGCAGTTTATCTGTAGTTGGACAATAAAGTCTTACATTAACGACATGTCCCATGACTATTATATAAACAAAAAACGGCTAGTCCTTTTCGCAATATCACTTGGCAACAATGCAATATTAATATATGCCTCATCATATGCTTTGATGCAACCTATACACAAATAAATACATCAGTTTAATTCAACTCACAAATAAATAACATATTATTACAATGCTTTCCTCAGATTCAATTGTAGTCAACTTGGCTCTCATGATGCCACCCTTCAAAAAAAGCTTTGGTAGACATTTTAAAAGAGAATTTGCTTTGTTTCTGATATATAAACGGCTATTAAAATCATTATAAATTCCATCATAAGCTTGCAACAGTGCCTGTTTCAGCTCCTCCAGAGACAAAGGCAGTGGAACTATAGTTAGGCAGTGGTGCCTTCTCTGCCATGGAAGAAACATGCAACTTGACACTCCATTCCTTGTAGTCGGTGCCCTGAGCAGTGGCCTCTATGATGTCACAATAAACTCTGACAGAAGAGATGTGAAAATTCATGAATTTTGCGATTGAGCGCAGAATGAATTAAGCCAGATGGACGACACTGACTACACATGTTCTGGAGAAAGGCTTGAACAAACACTTATGCATGCTCCCCACAAGAGCATGGGAACATTGCCCTCTCCAGTCTCCACACATCCCCTGGGAGGGATACGCACAACCCAAACCTCGAGGGTTCCTCTGCACCACAAGGGCAGCAGCAGGGGGTCCGGTTGCCAACCTCTCGGCCAAGAGTGGGGGCCTCCCAGCGAGTAGGTTCCCCGTACTGGTCGTCCGTCTGGCGCTTACCAACCTGACTAAATCCGTGCCGAGCTCCGGGTTCTGCATAGCTGGCGGTGCTTTATGTTAGGATTGTACATGACGCGTCTTTTCAAAACTACTATCTTAGCGTTAGATGTCCCTAACGCCGGGATAGTCACGTGACATTTTGGGGTACAAAATTGTGATGCTACGTACCTCGATTTCCATGTGTTCGCTTGCTTCGAGTAATTGTGCATAATTATTCGTTCCATTACATCCTTATTCTATGACATGTACTAAAACCTTCAATATTTTATTCAACTACTGCGCCGGCTCAAAAGTTATCACGTGAATATCGAAAAAATGGAACCAAGACTTGTCGTTAATGATATATTTGATAAACTCGAGGCCAAAATTCCCATAAGTGCAAAAGTTCATGAAGAAAGTCATTCGGTGGATGATCCATATTTTACTATAAATGCTTTTGAGAGCCTAAGGGAAAAGTACTGTATCTATAGTTGGCGGACTTTTTTTTGGACATTAGCTTCGCTTTCATTAACTTTTTTTATTTGGACAGAACCCATCTTGAAAATCTGCTAAGGTTTATTAATAATGAATGTTATCGTAATAACGTTGATCTTGCAGTATGTAGTCGATATTCATTACATCCGAGTTTTTAATATTAATACAATAGGATTTTAATATTCTATGAAATGTCTGATGATAGACTTGTGCAAAGTTTGTAACATGCATTCTGAGCGAACATCTCAGGGAAGCGATTAATCCAGAAAGTTTTGTACCAGTGTTGAAGTTATTCAACACATATAAGGATGAAAATAATAATGGTACGCGCTCTTCGTTCCCAGATGGTTTTCGAAAATAATGTTATTAATGTTTCGATCATCGAATTAGTTGTCTTTAGGGAATATCTTTGTCTTTTGATACAGCAGTTACTACATCAGGGTTATACCCCGGTGAGCACATGGCTTTTGCTTCTTAAATTTATCTACAAGGAAGCAAGGTCACTGATTTCCGTTAACAGTAATGGCGAAGGAATAGATAAGCTAATGAAAGAAACTGCCATGTTCATAAAAATTCAATGTCATGAGGTATATCTAACAATTGCTTTTGCATGGACGTTCACCAGACACTTACGTATTTGAACCAATTCCTACAAAGATAAGGGAAACAGTTGCATATGAAAACCTTTTTCTTTACAGATTAGTTGAATCTATATTGATAGAGTCAGAAAAGAACACTATTATTGTTGAAATCGACAGGATGTAAGTGTCTTAAAAATTTTGTAGTTGTTGGTATGTATCAACTGATAAAGTTCTATACAGGTCGACATTATGCGAATGTCTTTTGGAACTTGCAATAAGTCAACCGGATATCCATGAAGTTGTTACCAATGAATTGGGCGTGGTAAGAGATAAAAACTGCTCGAGAAGTTTCTGGTTGCATTCTAAATTTCTGACTACTTATAAACAATCTGCTTATGAAGATAATCGACCACAGCGATTTATTCGTGGTACAATCAACAATGATTAATTTGAGCTTGTACTGGAACGAGTTTCCTTTCCAAATCGATCCCATCTTACAAGGAATTCGATTAAATGAGGGCACAGCTGAAAAATTGCTTGTAGGTGTAAGTAGATCGGTTGTTCCGCGTATATTACCTCTGAATGTAGCAATCACTAACTACTAATATAATCAGGTAAAATTGCCACCTAAATTAAGACAAATGATGTATAATAGCATCATTGATATCTATATCAACTATGTAACGACTTTTGAAAAGGATATAAGATGGTGTATTGATAACAATGAGGTAGGATTTGTCACTAATTCTATAATTAGTCTTCTTTCGTTGATATATCAATCTTGTAGGATGTTGTTTTCTCAATGGAGTTACCTGATCCGAAAGTATTCAACGAACTGCCAGATGTAAAAACGCTAACGTCGAACTTCGCCAACATAACAAAAATTGATGCATTAGATCTTATTGGCTATCTTGGTCACTATGCTTCAAATGCATCATTCAGGTAATAGCAGATGAATGATATATTGTGCGACAGAATACTGAATATCGATATTAACTAGAACTTTAAACTCTGATAGATTTTCTGCCCGTATATTGCTCACACTTCATATTTTTTGTGATTTAATTAATAATAATATAACATTTTTACGGGTAAGCCATTTGACTAACTGCGTTCAGATCAGAGTCTGGAAAATATAATTCTCATACATGTTGGCTATTCTAGGATGTCGACTTTGTCAATACTATTGCTGACTTCTACTTGTGTATTTGGCTGTATCTTTTTGCTAAGCCGCTAAATTCAACAGCTGCAAAGCAGAAGGCCAGATTTTCTACAGTTATGGCGTTGTTTCTGCATTTTTTTGATGTCTCGCTGACATGGCTTTGGAAAAGAAAGCTATCTTATGTGTTCTTCTTGAGAGTTCTTGTGAATATTTGTAAGCGCTTGGGCGAGGAATATCTCAAATTGATTTTGGCAATTTTTGAGAAATTATCCATCAATATTCCATTGTCCATTATTGCCATGAACCCTGATGATTTGATGATAATAGCAGACTCAGTTGATTGGTTAGGCATATTACAACGGAGGATTAACAACATAACAAATAGTTCGTAGGCTAAACTCTAATATTTGCGTTACTAAATAACAATCTATATGTTAATACAAACTTTCAGAATCGAAATTAGCACAACTTGTTAATATTAACCATGCTTCATTATAACCCTGGAAAAGCGGTGGTAAATAAAAGCAAGGGACGCGACCAGCACAATATAAAATTGTGAGTTTTGTACCGTCTCTTATTTGTGTCATAAATACTACATATGAGGCGAAGAAGTTGAAGACTAATTTTAGAAGGGGAGTTTGAAATTAGAAGGGAATTAAAGCAAGCGAACCAATGACGCGCTTATTATTATAAACCATTTTATTATGAGCTAGTGAATAACATTCAAACTTTTTTTTTAATTGGATGAGGATAATCGACGCACTAAAAATCGATATTGCTTGACCTAGGCCTATACATCATATGCTCCCCCGAAATTTCTGTATAAACGAATTTTCTCCATGTTTACGAATATGTACAGTACCCTCCAAGTGGTGAGTGAGTAACACAAAATTTTACGAATTATTGTTAAATTCATGCATATGTAAACGAAAGATTTTTACTAACAAACTGCCTTTTGCGTACTAAGTAAACTTGTTTTTTACATATACTCCTGTAATTTGTTTTAATGTATCGATCTATCAAAGCGATCAAAGCCAGCCTAACGATTTAAAGATTTTGTCTTCTAACTTTGATCGCTGTAAACATATGTCAAGGTCAAATGCTTTACTAATAAAATATATTTAAAATGCTTTGGAAATTTCATAACATTTGGTTGAGAAATGATAGAGAAAATAAATTTTAATGTGTCAGCCCTTTTAATTTAAAGCCTTTTATGTTTCTCGGTCAATGAATTGTTTACATTGTTACTAGATAACAATATGACTTCTCGATCAGAACTTACTCTTTTTGAACGCGGCGAAATAATTGGTGCTTGGAAATGTGGGATAAGTGAAGAGAAGATTGCAGTGACCCTGAAAAGAGCTCGAAGTACTGTCCATAAAGTTATAGTGACATATCGTGACCAGCAACAACAAAAACCTCCTACTCGAGCAAAAAATTACACCAAGAGACAGTAGAGCATTAAAAAGAATACTCCAACAAAATAGAAAAACTAATCTGAATGAAATTAAGGATAACTTTACTGCATCAACATCTAAGACTGTCTGTGTAAACACACTTTGCAGCCATCTTCATGAGATTATATGGTCAGGTAGGAGTAAGAAAACCACTTGTAACAAAAAGAAACCAAATTAAAAGACTAAACTGGGCCAAGGAAAGACAAGCATGGAGAAATGAATGGGATAACATTATTTGGAGTGATGAGTCAAAATTTGAACTTTTTAGAAGTGATGGTAGGAGATGGGTATGGAGAAGGCCTCATGAAAGATATGATGTAAACTGTCTTATACCAACTATGAAGTCTGGACGAGATGAAGTAATGGTTTGGGGATGCTTTACCAGACATGGTCTTGGTCCTTTAGTGAGGTTGGATGGAAGGATCACAGCTAAGGACTATATATTTGTTTTAAGTCATCACCTGTTGCCTTATTATTATATAAATACTCTTGAGAATAAAGAGAATGCAATTTTTCAAGAGGACAATGCACCCATACATACAGCAAGAATAGTAAGAAGTTGGAAGGAAGAAAAGTCTTCCTTGGCCTGCACAAAGCCCTGACATGAATCCAATTGAACATCTCTGGGATGAACTTGAAAGAAGGATTCGGACTTACAAACCTTTGCCAAAAAACAAGGAAGAGTTATGGCAGATACTCCAGAAGGAGTGGTACAACATTGATGTCAATGTTTACCATAATCTTATAGATAGCATGCCCCGTAGAATTGCAGTAAAAGAAATCCTACCAAATATTAATGTATTATATAAACTTCGATAACCAATTTATTAAAATTTATTTTCTCTATCATTTCTCAACCAAATGTTATGAAATTTTAAAAATATATATTCCAAAGTATTCTAAATATATTTTATTAGTAAAGCATTTGATCTTGACATATGGGATTTTGTATTTACAGCGATCAAAGTTAGAAGACAAAATCTTTAAAATCATTAGGCTGGCTTTGATCGCTTTGATAGATCAATATATCAAAGAGACATTAAAAAAAATTACAGGAGTATACAGTGAACTCACAAAACTGGCTCAATGTTTGGAAGAATTGAATGTATAGGCTTATAACTCCACAAATATCCAATCAAAATAAATGAAATTTAAACTGAATATAGTCTTGCTTTCTGGCTTTTAAAAAACTTGAAACTTTTTGAGTTATGAATTTTTAAAGTTTATCAGCACATTGAGCCAGTTTTGTAACCCATAACTAACTTACCTATTATGCATTTGTAACATGTAATACAAACATAGGAATGTGCTCAACTTACCAAAATAGATTGTTTGCCTCAGCAAAAGATTATTTATACTTTTTAA